TTAGGCAATTCATATGAACAGCAAAAGGCACTTGCACTTCCCTTAGCTTTACAACAACCTTCCAGGATATTCTTAAACAAAAAAGAATAAAACCCACTTATCTTCTGCCTGCAGGGCAGAACTGTGCCAACTTTCTCTGAATCTTTGACTCTGCATCTCTGACAGGTGTTAAATTTCTCAGAATCATTTCTAAAAATTTAACTCTAATTTATCATCTTATCTAACACAGCATTAATATCCTAAAGGACCCCTGACAATTCAATAAAGCATCATTCTGAAAATGCTTTTGGCTATTTTGAATCAAGCTGGGCTTTCTCAAACTCTTCTGTGTTTGAACTCTCAACTCACATTCCAACAGCAACTTAAACAGCAAATATATCAATTTCAGGTTTTTTCATCAGGCTTTAAAAGTTTTCTTCTTACCATATTTTGAGGTGCTGGAAATCAAGTGAAATTCCCACAGTCTTCTGCCAGAACTATTTGGATTCTGATCTTCTTTTTGTGCCTTTTATGGGTGATATGTCACAAATTGTCATAGAGCAATGACACAGATTGAACTCTGTAACATGACATTCATTATTGAGATGTTTTCCCCAATATCAGTAATGTTACATCTGAGCCTCTCACAATATTGATACTGGAGCAAAGGACAGCTATTCCCATGCTGGAGGTGATGAGCTGGGCAGAGATGGGAGGGAGATCTTCTCAAAGGCAGAATAGGACTTGAACATAATTTTTTTAAGTCATAGGTAAGCCACCCAGTCACTGAAGTGGAAGGAGACTTTTGAGAGAAGAGCATGAGAAAAAAAATCATAGAATCATAGAATTGTTGGAAAAGACCTTTTATTTTAAACAAGTTCAACTGTTATCCTATAACTCACCAAGTCCAAAGTTTACTTCGTCCCCAAGTGCCACATCTGCACGTCCTTGGGATGCTAACTCCACCACTGCCCTGGACAGCCTCTTCCAGGGCTTGACAACCCTTTGGGGAGAGAAATTTTTTCCTAAAATCCAATGTAAATCTCCCCTGGCACAACTTGAGATAATTTTCTCTCCTCCTGTTTCTTGTTACCTGGGAGACATCAGCCCCCACTTGTCTACTACATCTTCTCCAATGGACAGTACCAACAGCTTCTTAAAATACATCCTCAGTTTTATTCTGTGCTTTCCTCATATACATACATTGCTGGCATTTTAAGAATATAAAATGCCATGCTTCATTTTTGGCACAAATAGAAGAATAACATTCTGAATTTGCAATACATTTCTATGCTCAAGAGAGAAGGTAAAACTGATAATTGCCTTATTTCTGCTTCTGGTTTGGAACCATAACACTAACCTTTACTTGTTAGTTAAGACTGGGTAGATTAAACTTTATTTTTCCTTACTAGATGATGAAATGAGAACAAAAGAGGCAAGGTCTAGATTTTCACTAGACCAAATTCTCTTAATTTTTTTTTGCTCATGCTTTTATTCATCGGTCTGTGACGTGTCTCTGTCTGCCCTTGCCCATCATGCCCAGCCCCTGAACAGAAATGGAGCTACAGATGGTTCTTTGGCAAGGTGGACTGAGATACACAGTACTGGTGGATTTTGGAGAAGGCTTGAACTGCAAATTCCTCTGTCCATGACCTGCTCTGGCATCCTTTGTATTCAATGCCTCAGGGTAATGCAGTGAACAACAGAAATAGCATCAATCACCACCTACCCACAATCTTGAACCATTTTCTGCTGCTTTCTGGGCTCATTGCTAAAGAAACACAGAATTCCAGCAGAAATACAGAGCACCATCATGGAACTGAATCTACCCAATGGAGCATTTATACTGAGTTCATCATCATGGTGACTGAGCATCTGTTTTATTTAAAATGAGAAAACAATTTCAATGCAGTGTTTAGTCAGAAAATCCTGCACAAATCCAGAAATTATTATAGACTCATCTAATACTGCCTTTTTTTCCTACATTACCCCTGTTCTCTCTTAAGATGCAACTTTTGTAGATGATGGATTAGGTCAGTGCCAAATTATAGCTTGCAGTGAAATTCTGCATCAGCCAAGACATAATCAACATTAAGCATTTGAGCCTCAAACTTCAATTTGATCGTCACACAAAGCAAATTGCAGAGAAGTGCCATTTATTTATGTTTACCCAGCTCTTGCTCATCTGCTAATGATGAGTGACAAGAGTGGTTGAGTGGCAGGTCAGCCAAAAATACCCATGTTTGGAGCAATTGGCTCAGCAATAACTCCCCTGTCAAAAACCCTCCCTGAGTCACTCAGCAACCAGCAGCCAAGGAACATTTCTGTACCTCTGGGTCCAATTTGGATTTTTTTTTACCTTGCATTTTCTGCTGTGTGGAAGAGATTGCAAATGGTCATGACACTTGCAACAGTTCCAGCAGCATTTGGATGTCAAGAATCCATCACCTCTCACTTTTACTTTTTCGGCCTGTTTACTTAGTTTTTTTGTTGGTGGCACAAAGGTGAAAGTCCTGAGAGCAGATTCTGAGGCATGCATGGCCAATCTGGTCACTTCAGACAGTAATTTGTACTTTTTACTGTAGTCCTGGGGATGCTTAAGGGAAATGTCAAGTTTTAAATATTACCTAAATTAATCTTGTTTCCTACTTGTAAATAAATTAAAGTAAGACTTGGGCAAGAGAGTATATATAAATATTAAGGAGAAAGACTTAATTGTCTACATTTATTCAGGTATTTTTTTTTTTTTTTTATATCTTGTAGCTGCAGTGGTTGCATATAAACAAGGAATGAGGCTCTGTTAGAGCTTCATTAGTGTAAGATACCAGGTCAGCAGCTCAAATGGCATCTAGAAATAACTACTTCAACCCTAAAGCAGGTTATGGAAGAGTCTTTTTTATATATATATATATATATATATAATATTCATTTTTAGGAGCCATAATACATGCTGAAAATAACAGCTTGTGTTAACATGCCAAGGAACGCTGGGTAAGGCTCACTGTTGAACTTCCTTTACTGCAAGTTAGTTCTTGTTACCAACTGCTCTAATGAAATGGTTAGACACCAATTGTAGCTTCAGAGCTAATTCCAAGCACGCCATTATTTCTAACAAGGTAGATTTTGCAGCCAAGATTAGTTAACCCAACTGCATTTCCACTTTACTGCACGATTTTTGCATTTCTCTACACAGCTGTCTGCTCAGAAGCAGGAGAAAAATGAGTTCCCTCCATGCATTCTTAGTCTTATTCTTTTAAATAAAAAATATTTTTAATATTGTTTATTTATCTAGGATACAATTTCTGGCATATAGCTATAAATGTGGATGACAAGCCTCTCTATTAAACCAGTTGTTTATATGCATTTTTTTAAAAATCACAAAATGACTGTCAAAAACAGTAAAAATGCAAAACAAAGCACAAACCACATTTGTCAGCAACAGCCTAAATAACCTGTTTTAATAAAGAGAACATCAAAGAGAGTCAGACATAAAAAATTATTTCAAACAACTGTTTTTGCATTTCTCCTTAGTTTGATATATAGCAAAATTAATCTTTTTAGCAGATAATCTTAAAACTGTAGTAGTTTGCTAAAATGCAAAGTAAACTGCTGGAAGTACAGGTGATCATGTACAATTCATGTTAACAATTTATTAATAAAGCAAGAGCACCGACTTCTGTGGGCTTATACATAAAAATAAAAGGTAAAACTATGGATTAATTAATAGTCCTTAGTGAAGGACACCAATCTCAGCAGGTGTTGTTTAGGAAACAGTTAATGGGTGTTGTTCCACTTAACCAATGCTGGTGATGTGTTGCTTTTATGACCAATGAGAGTTTTACCTCTCAGACCTTCTCGAACATGTGTATAAAAGAAGATTAAGAGTAAAAACTTTGCTCTCTTGGACAATGCAGCTGAGGGAGTCAGTGTCATACAGCTGCTCTGTTCCTAATATAGTGCAAGAGAAAGACTCTAAAACTTGTTAAAGTTGTAAAGTAGATATGTATTTATCTAGCACTGGGTATATGCAGGATCATTCCCAAAGGCATATACACCAAAAGCAATGACTATTTTTAATTTATTTTTTACAATCTAGGATTAGACAATATGCATAACACATATTCATTTCCTAGCCTTGCTTTGTACAGTAATTAGCTTTAGGTCCTGTCTGTGCTTGTGCCTCCCCAATTTGGGGGTCATCGGTGGTCTCTGACTCAGGCTTCCAAGCTCTTCTTTGCATCTGAACTTTTCATTTTTCTTCTTTACTCATGCTTCTTGGCTCCTTGGTTGCAGTCTAAGCCACAAAACTAGTCCTGGCCAGTTTTGAGGTGTAACCAATCTTTCTTATCTCAGTCTCCTTGCATTCTTGTCTCCTCTCATCCTGTGTTTAGGTTATAACTCCTTCCTTACCACAAGAGTCCTGCATTCTTTCCCACTGTTTTTCTAGCATGTCAGATGTTCATCCTGCTTCTGAAAGCATAGCAGAGGTTACAGAGACAATACACATTTTCTACCAAGCAGAATACATTTTAAAGATAATATACATTTCCAAGTTAGCTATCCCTAATCAATTAATCCCTAAATTTCATACTCCTTTGCCTCAGTTTTAACAGTTCCAAACTTATATCCCATATGTTTCCTCAAATATTTCAACCCCTGATTCCTCTGTGCTTGCCTTGAGGCTGCAGAGTACAGATTACTTGGTGCCCATGGCAAATGCTGCTGGAACAGGGAGGTGATGTCAGCCCCTGCAGTGCAATCTGTAACTGGATGTGAGTGAATTCACTGGCTGGCAATTCAGAGGAAAACACGCTGATGCTATACCTGCTGGAGCCAGATGGTGGCTGAAATTACTAAAATGACTTGTACTGTAAACAGCTGAGAAATTACCCTGCTAGGAAATACCCAATGCAGAGATGGGACCCCAATCCAACCAAGTGGTGTGTGGGGAGTATTTGCAAACACTCTATGGAATGATTCTCCACTGGTTAATTATAATCCTTCCCTTCACCCTCTTCTAGGTTCAGCTGATCCACTATAACCATGAGCTGTACACAAACGTCACAGAAGCTGCAAAGAGTCCTAATGGGTTGGTGGTAGTTTCCATATTTATGAAAGTAAGTATTCTTTGCTACAGATTCCTAATATAGAGATAGTAAACCTTTCCCTGAACTGTAAATGTAGGAGTTAGACACCTCATTATGCTACAGCAATGCCCAGAGTCTGATCTGGAACCCAGAGACAGCTTCACCCTGAACTGAGCACACCATCTCTTCTCCAAAGCTTTTACAATAAATGGGAAATTAAAAGGGATAAGAGAGGTGGGGGAAAATCCCCTTACATCATAAACATCACTTATAACACTTTAAGGCTATGACAGAAGTTACTAGCTTTGCAAATTTAGTGTTTCTTCATGAAATGTTATTCATCCAAATCTCTACTAGTAGGTTGAGGCCCCGGGAAAGAGGGCATGTCATGCTGATGTGTCAAAGCCAGCAAAATAAGTTTCTTCAGTGTTATTTAAAATGTCTTCAAACTAACAAAACTGAAATAATGTTAAAAGTAGAACTTCTAATATCTTCCATTTCACAGAACTACAAAGAGGTGAATATTTTGTCTCTATCATGTTTCATTCAAGGTACATAGTTAAGTCTATAATTTATAGTGATTTAACACTGAACTCAAGACTTCATGGTTTTCCCAAACCTATTTAATTACATTGGAGAAACCTTTTCTCTCGTTTTATATAAAAAATATTCTCCCCTCCAAATGTTGCTAATATTCCTTCATTGTTTATCTGTTTCATCAGTCTAAAAAAGTGTATTTCTGAGTAATGCTGAAGTTCACCTCGTCATACCTTAGGTATGAGATATCTATTAGTTCCCCTTAGTACTCTAATCCCATTTTATAAAGGTCCTAACAAAATATTAACCTCAGAATTAAAAGTATGCATTTCACAGAGCATATTGAATAATTAGATATAAAAGGGCACTTTTCACACAGGTCTAATATTTAAGAAAGATATTTAGGCTACCTTTTTTTTTCTCATCCAAAATGTATTGTACCCAACAATCTGATCTGCATTCATGAAAAAGGGAAAAATTAAAGAGAAGACAGAGGGAATCTTGTCAATATTTAGAAGTACCTGCAGGTAGTTGTCAGAGGATGGACCAGGGTCTGCTTAGGGTTGCTGAGCAACAAGAAAGAGGCAACAAGGGGGCAGAATCTGACACGTGGAAAGTTCCACCTGAACATGAGGTGTTACCTCATATGTTGCCCAGACATAAACCAGAGGAAGAGAGCTTTAATTTGCAATTAAAATAGCCTGCTGCAAGGAAATTATATTTATCAATAAATAAAGTAATAGAATACTAATGAAAATCCTGCCTAATATATCAACCACCTGCAAATTTCATCAAAGCTGTTGGAGAAGAAACCTGTGCTCTGGCTTTTATTCAGGCATTGATTTCTGTTCGCCCTGTTCTCCCATTCTTGTGTTTTATTTATTTTACCAACTTTCTATCAAGCTTCATTAGAAAAACAAGTAAATAATTCTTTATATCTCCCACAACAATGAAGAAAAGGCAGAACCCAATTGGAGTAGTATCAGAGTGAGTGTGTGTGTGCACACATGAAGACCTGCAGTTCTGGCAAAGAAATGTTTGTGAGAAGAATTTGACATTGTGCATTTTCTCTTCTGCAGGTATCTGAATCATCAAATCCATTTCTAAATCGTATGCTTAACAGAGACACCATAACAAGAATAACATATAAGAGTAAGTTTCTTTTCATTTTTTCTGGTAACAGCTGTGTTCTTTCAGTATCAAGTAACACATTTAGTGATCCTGAAACTAGAGGCATTTTATTATGAGCAGAAATTCTAGGTTTGCATTGCCAGCAACTCTGCATGATAAACTCAGGAATGTGAAAAAGCTTGTTAGGTCATCACTTTATCAAATGAATTTTGAACTTCAAAGTCTGTTTTATGTCTGAAGGTGCACCAACAGATTAATGAAGTTATATTTCACATATACATATACTGTATTCACACAGAATGCTCAGGAGAAACTTACTACTGTTAGCAGTAAAAGGGACATGTGGAGCAGCCTGGGTTATATTAGATCTGGTTATGTCAAGATGCTGCACCATTACCTGGATTTAGTGTTCATCAATGTTTTCTTTTGTACAGAAATTTATAACATTCCTATTCAACTACTGCTGCATTTAACAGACACAGAAAGAAGGCATTAACATAGCTTGTATATTTGTTGTATTCACATTTGAGAAGCCTTTAACTGATGATCCTCAATAATTCCACATTCATATATTGACCTTGTGGAAAACTGGAGCTTAAGATATTTTAGAGAAATTTAGAGAAAATAATTAAAAATATGTATAACAAATTAAACCACTTCTCCTGAAAACCTCATTTCCTTTGTCAAATTTTCTAAGCTTCTATGAAGTTTTTAAGTTCAACAATACCAGAATTTAACTTTATAAAAGTACATAGCAACCTGATAACACAAACAGTTCCTTGTCCTCTCCTGCAGCACACACACCTTTCACCCCACTGATGTTCCTCTGATTCTACCTGACAGTTAACAAATCTTGTTAGATCTTTGGTCCAAATAAGAGGTTTCTATGATAATAAAACTCAGTTCTCTACAATACCTATGGAAAGGAAGGCAACAGAGGGTTCTCCTCGGAATGTTTTTCCCAGATTGTTCTATCAGTATCAAATGTCATCTTCTCTGCATGGAAGAAGCAGATCAGTCCCATTTTTAAACTGCTTGTCCTGATTCCTTGCAAGAACACAGCAAGGCTGTTCTGCAAGAGCTTCCTGCTTACCAGTGCTGCTGCAGCAGCCTGGAAACAGGGAATTATTGTTAAGGCTGTGTGTGCTTTTTCCAGCTCTTTCACCCACAAATTCCATATTCCCAGCTTCTGTCTGGGAACCAGCCAGATGTTCTCCCATGGGGTCACACCCTCCCAATACCAAATATTTCATTTGTATGCTGCATTTACAGCTCCTCTCTGGAGCTGTGAGTATCCCACAACCTCCCATTGCTTGTTTTCTCTCCTTACAAGGGAAATACAATTTCAATCACACCTAATTTGGGTTCACTAAATGAAATTTTGCATGAAGACAAACATACAAAACACAGGCTTGAAAAGCAGTGATTAACAGAATTGCTTTAATTTTTAACCACTGTTTTCACTACGTTTATCTGTTAAAATTAAACCCTTGGTAGACACAATGCACATAATATTCCACAGGGCATTGGACTACTTACTGTAGTAACAAGTATTGACTGGGAATTTTTAGTGTAAATTGGGAACATGAAAGTGTTATTGAAAGTAATTTTGTAGTTGTCTTACATGATGGATTATAGCATGATTGCTGAAAATTAATTTTACCTCTTCCACTGTAAGGATTTCTAGTGTGCCTTTAGCAGCTGTAGTTTTTCAGCTTCTGCTTTAGGGCACCACTCCTGGAGCCAATGCTCAGCACAGTGCTGACAAAATGCCCAGGCCCCATATGCTCAAGAGGAGCATGGAGGGAATGATAAATGAAGCACTGGTTCAGAGTCAGGACAGTTCATAACATAAATAAAAGGTTTTGGGGTTTTCTTTTCAAGAACAGCAACAAAATCAAGTGCTGTCTCTCCTGCTGCATGAAATTTCCATGGGCAAAGGGCATTAAAAGGGAAATTTCTACTCTTAGATATTAATGGCTACAGTGAAGTAAAGTGGACCCCAAGGAATTTTTAAGATTTTAAATGCTAATTTTATTCTGTTATCACAGCCCAAAGAATCTACTGTGAGAAGGCTGAAACAAGGGTTTTTCAAGCAGGCTTTAGTCAGAAGCTGTGTGGATATCTCAGAAGAAAACGGTTTTATTATTCCTCTTTAAGTGTGCCATTTGAGGGGATAAGTTAGTTTACTTTCAAAGAAGTTATGCTACATGAGCTTTCACCCAGTGTTTGCTTAACATCAGGAAAGAACATAACTTTATAGATTCACAAAATTCCACATAAAAATTTGGTCTTGTCTTTGTCTGGTAAGCAGAGAAATTGAGTATCTCTACATTCCTTACCCTGTCCTATCCTAAATCTATCCTAAATCCTTTTCTGGATTATCATGATATGAACTTTAAAATCAAATGTACCTTCCTCTACTCAATTAACAATATATTCCTAATAAAAAGCATTATTATGAAGAGGACATACACAGATTTTGCTGTGAAAGCCAACACTACACATCTATTACAAACCTAGGGATAAAAGGATTTCCATTATTTCCTAGGTAAGTTGTAGAGTCAAGGCCTTTATGTAAATGAACATGAAATCTAATGAAATCTAATTTGTAGAGAGAAGAATTCCTCAGTTTGGAAATCATCCAAAGACAGCAGCAGATCAAGAGAAACAGATAGTGGGCTGCAGATAGGAATGATGCTGGGGATCCATGAAATGCTGGATGGGCTTATGAAAGGAAGTTTGTCACTGGCAAGAGATCATACGTGGTGATTTTGAGCACTTTGAACATATTTGCAGTAAATATAAGCAAGACTTTGAAGTGCTGCAGTCTATCAATCCCAACCCAGCAGGTCTGCTTCAGCTCCACAACAAGAATCCTTTACCAAGATGCGGGGAAAGGGCAGACCTGTTCATGGGAAACATGTTGGGAACCAAATCCTTACTGTGTAGTCTTCTCTCATGGAGTCATCTGACTTCCCAGGGGGATATAACTCATATACAGGCAGTAATAAGTACTGCTTTTTCTTGGACAAACTTTTATTTCATTCACCCCTATCTTCCACTTTTCCTGAAATGATATTTTCCTCCAGTCTCATATCAATATCCCTGATCTGTATTAATCTTCAGTTAGTTTTCCATCTCCTAGTAAACATTTCAGGGCAAATTCTACCTGGCTGAAATCATTTTAGCCCAGCTGAAGCCAATATGGCTGTGAGAAAGCAGATTTGGTCCTTAGGGATCTCTTCTGCCTGATTCTGATGCTGCACTTGGTGCCAAACACACCATTCTCCATGGCTCATAAATAATAAACAAGATGTTCATGTGGGAAAAGGAAAAGTGTGTGATGACTCATTGAAAACAGGCACTGGCATGAAAAAAAATCCATCAGTTCTCTCCTGATGCAATTCTAGCAAAATTATCAGTGCACTGCAAATAAAGTTTTTAAGGGCTAGGACACAGGTCTATTCAGTCATCTCTACTTGTTCAAGTATTTTTACTGTGTTTTCCTGCTTCTGTCTGGAAGATGTGGGTTTAGAAAGAGGCTGTCACGGGCCATGGGCCAGTGAAGCCTGGCCATATTAAAACAGGTGACAGTCACCTCCCAGACACTAACAGCACTTTCCCTTCTGCTGGAGGATCCAGCCAGCCATCCAGCAGGGCAATCACCCTTGCTCAAGCTGCAGGAACAGGACAGAGGGCTCTGTTTCTGACAAACATGAGAGGACCTGACAAGATTTTATCTTTTAAAATAACAAATACATTTAAAATATGAAGTAACAGCAAGGCCCTGGTCAACGAGGCAGAAACATTACACTCTTACCTTGGCATTTTAACTGATGCTGTAACTGCCAATATTGTTGCCCCAAGAACCTGTACCCTGTTGACTGTGCTGTGTTAAAATAAAAGACAAGGTCACATTTGCTCTGCCTGTGTTCTTTGATTTTCTGTTGCCCATGACAATAGTCTACAGCCTCTTTTTCCATTAGATTATAAGAGACAAGACTTTTGCTCATCTAAGCTATGTCCTTCAGCTACAGAATCTTAAATTCAAGTTAAATTATGCCTTTCATTTTTAGCTCTTATGCACTTCCTTGATCATTTGATTTCTCTGCAAATCAAGGCCAGCTCATGTTGAGCATTGAAAGAGGGAACACACCTCAGTGTGCACTTTTCCTTGCCTACATTCTAATGTTCCGTCTGCAAATGAACCAAATTAGAGACACCACACACAAGTGGAAGGGTTCAAAAAGATCTCACAGTGTTACAAATCATAACCACCCCAGCTTTCTCTGAGATACACACAAGCAGCAGTGTACCAGTACTAAAATACTGTGGATGAACTCAAGATTTGGCAGGAAAAGCTGAGTTTTAGCTTTGACAGCACTGCCAAAAGAACTGTAGGGCCAAAGAAAAATAGTGCAGGTAGTACAGAAAACACTAGGGAACTTCAATGAATTTTGAAAGATATAACCATATCTCATTATATTTTGGTACATATCCACAGAATAAATTCTGTTGCAGAGAAATACACCTCATTAATTCCCAGGGAGCCTTAGAGTAAAGGCAGGGACCCTGGTACTGCTCCCCAGCAAGCTTTCCACCTAGAATGGAGCTTTCTGAGGGAGCTGGCACTGCACCCACACCACTGTGCACGAGAGGCCAGGAGGCTTCATGGAGCAGCTTTACTATCATGCATTAACTGCAACTTCCTCTCATGCCAAAAGGGCAATTAAGTTTTAATCTTGGCCTTCCTGAGGCTTTGTTGAGAAAAAATTCTTAATCACTCCAAAAGATGGAAAGTTGACATTCTCCAAAGGCTTCTGCATCTCAATCAATAACTGCAACTTTAATAAGCTTTTGACTCTGGTCCCTAAATGTGATTCAGAGTTGCCCTGTGAGTGCCTGTGCTCAGCTCTCAGTGTGTGAATGGGAATCTCAGTGCAGCTCCACCCAGCAGGGTCAGGGATGTTTCTTGTGTTTCTTGTTCTTGTCTAAACTGCTGGAGCATCCAGCAATGTGCATCTGTTAAACTTCGTTCTCTGGTAAAACTGAACATCACGTCATCATGTTCTGCATGGAGGAGACATGAAAAGGGTGGTGTTTTTGTTTGTTTTGGGGTTTTTGTTTGGGTTTGTTTGTTTTGTGATGCTACTGCTTTACCTGAATTGTTTTCCTCCTTTGTTCTCCAGATGATGCATACTTTCTACAGGGGCTTAATATTGAGGAACTTTATCCAGAGACATCTAGTTTCATTACATATGATGGGTCAATGACAATTCCACCCTGCTATGAAACAGCAAGCTGGATAATAATGAACAAACCTGTCTACATAACAAGGATGCAGGTAAAGAAATTTACAAATTATTCAGTCTAGGATAGGTACAAAATATTATTTTAAATGTAATATTTATAGCTTTACATTAGATTCAACCTTTGTGCTGTAGGGATCTCTGTATGCAATTTATACAGTTTGCAAAAGCATTGAAGAGTTTTTTTTTTCAAAATAAAAATATTAACTGTTTAGAGCTCTGTCAGTATCTACACAACACAAACTTTGAGGGGGGCCCTGTTTTCAGTGAGAGTATGAACCAAATGGTTTCCTGCAGTCTCTTCACATCTGCATCATTCTGTGATGCTGTGAACAGTTACCTGGGGACTTTAAAACAAGTACAGCAGTGTTGTGCAAACACAACTGAGGTGATTAAGGATAACAGAGGCCATTCCTAGGTCTGAATAAACACACGTCCATAGCACATAAATGTGACAGTGTCACTGATGGACACAATATATTGAGGGTTCTTCAGACAATCTGGCACACACAGCTGTTTTGTGAGGCAAAGAAAGCCTTTATTTCAGGGTTTTCTCAACCCTTATATAGTTTTTCCAACCAGGTTACCCTGACTGGTAGAAGGAACACCTCTTTGGTCCCATTGGTGGGACCAGAGCAAACACACTAAAAACATCTGTTCAGTATTGTTTTGAGAAATATTATCTATTTACAATAACACAATCCTGGAGAGAAAACTGTTCCCAGGAACTTTTCCCCTGGGAAGAGATGAGCTCCTGAAACTCTCTCAGGCTCAGAAATCCTGTCCACATGACAGAGATATGGTATCTGGAGCCTTCTAGGAATAAATTCAGCCAATACTTTGTGGTATAGAATAAAATTACAGAGTACACACCACAAATACCTTTGGAAAAATCAGACTGATATATTGAAGTCCCTATTAGAGAGAAGCAGGAGAAATTATGCAAGAGAAAACAAAACTTCACATCCAAAAGGAAGCTGTTGAGGAAACACACCAGTGGAAAAATCTCAAAAACTACATTTCTGTACAACTTGCTTACAATCCAATGCCTGGCATCAGAAAACAGCAAATTTAACACCAATTGCCCTCTTCTCCAGAGTTTCCATCAGTGAGTTGCCTACATACCTGTGAGCTGAACTAAAACCTCCTCTCTTGCATACTGGAACCTCAAGGAATACTTGAACCACCATCTGCCTGCCCCAGGCAGGCAGCAGAAGAAATGGGGCCTGAGAAAAGAAATGAGGAACAAGAAAACAACTCTAAATATCACTTTGGGATTTAAAATCATATTAACATTGTAAATAACATGACCTTAAAAAGCCTTAGATGTTTTATTTTTGTGATATTCCTTCCATCCAGTTTAGTCTGGAAGCAGAGAAAGCACTTTGTTTCTTTTCTAAATGATTTGAGAGAATGACACCACTGAGCACAGGCAAAAAGGCTCAATATTATGAACTTTTGAAACACAGGACCTGAATATTTTCCTGCATGAAACATTTTTAGGTCCAACATTAATGTGCAAAATAAGGATTAGAATATTTCTAGTCTGTGCTGCTACCTATGGGTTATAACCCATATAATGCTACTTGTTCCTTGTCATGCTTTAATGGTTAATCACATCCTCCATTAATACTTAGTTATATCCTCCATTATTAATGCTGCAGATGGATTTTGTGGAATACTTACTAATTATGTTATGTACTCAGACTGAAAAAGCAATGCCTAGCTCAAGTTTTCCCTAGAAATTTTTAATGATTTCCAGTACATAAAACCCAGCTACTGGATTTACCCATTAAATGCCATAAACAAACCTCTTAAATTGTACACTGATGTGGAAGATATTTTGGTTTTATATTTTTAAACCATAATATTGAGGATTTCTGGTTTGTAACTTGAAACCTTTTTCCCCCCTCTCTGATTTTGGTGGACTTGAATCGATTAAGAGTTGCACAGTCACCATGACAGCCATTTCTGCCAGCCAGTGCTGGATGCACAGGATGATTCAGTATTTCCCTCTGTGCTGTGAAACCACCTCAGAAGAAGGCTGGAGTCTGCTGTAGGAGCACTCACAGTCACAGCATAGACAGTATCATCACAGACCTGTCAGCAAAAATGAGGCTCTCACTTATTAATATCATTAATTTCACGACTTCTGCAGCATCACTGTCAGTTTTCCTTCCCATCCAGCCTGCCCCTACCTGGTTCTTGAATAACATCATCCAAAATTGTGGCTTCTCAACTGAAAGCTACACTGATAGCTACAAAATTCAGGAAATTAGCTTTTGTCATTCACCAAGTTCACTTGTTCTGTACCAGCTGCTGCCATACAGCACTGTGGATTCCATTCCTTTCCCTCTCCCACAAGGATACCTCAATACTATTTTCATTTGCTCCCCACAAAACTGGTTATTCTCATCTAAAACTGGGCTCAGAAACAGAGGAGCACACAAGCAATGGTTTTAACTCTGGCTACAGACTGTCAGAGTTAAATTCTGTTTTACTGAAATTCTGTTTCACTGAAATTCTGTTTCACTTCCATTTATTAACTAATCTATTTAATAGTGTTGTATGTTGTTTACTTACAGAAAAGACCATTACTAAAAACCCCTTGTTTTGTCTTTATAGATGCATTCTTTACGACTGCTAAGCCAGAATCAGCCATCACAGATATTTCTGAGCATGAGCGACAATTTCAGACCAGTCCAGCCTCTCAACAATCGATGTATCCGAACCAATATCAACTTTAGTTTACAGGGAAAAGATTGTCCAAACAATAGAGCACAGAAACTACAATATAGAGGTACATTCCACCTCCAGAATAACCCTGTCTTGTTTTCACTGAGCTCCTTTCTTTGTGATATCCAAGGGCACACAAATAAAAACACATAAAACTCCAGATATGGGGGGATAACTGTCTCAGTCAAATGCCACACATTTGAAATGGATGAGTAAATGTGCAGGAAAAACATGACAAAAAAACAGTCTGGGACATCTAATATGTTTTTTTAGAAGTGAATACATCAGGTCCTTGGTTTTCTAGCCTCATTTTAAGGTCTTCTCACCTTACAAAGTACATTTTGCTCTGGTTTACTCACCCACAAAGGGGGATGAGCTAGTCTTGATGACAACTGATCTCAAACAAAATTAATAATTGATAAGACTTAATTTTGCTTTTTAGGTGCACCACCATAACAAACACCTAAATTGCTGAATGTTGTGTTAAGCTGTGGATATAAACAATGAAGCAGCTCGGTCACCTGGAGCTGGAGTGTTACAGTGCCACAGCTGTGGCTCACAACTGAGCTTTCGTGTGTCTCATGCATCTTTGAGCCCATGCACACAACTGTGTTGCCTGAAATAATGGTGTTGAAGTGCCCTCACAGCAGCAATATCATCATTATGAAGGAGTTGTACTAAAGGAAAAGAAAGGACATTTTCAGCAGCATAGCAGATGACTGTGTTGCAATACTTGAAAGAAACAGTCATTCAATTATTTTCTAGGAAAAGGAGGAAACTGAACCTCCTGGCTTTTTTAAGACATTTTGTCTACAAAATGACATTTGTGCCTTATACAGTGTTAAATTAATTTGATTCACAGTGTTAAACCAGTTTCATATTTAGCGTTTATTTAAGCATAATTGTTTTTGTTTGTTTCTCTTCCAGTAAATGAATGGCTCCTCAAATGAGACAGAGCAAGCAGAACCCAAATCCTCAGTGGAATGCTCCTTCTGGGAATTGACATCATCTGCAATGCAACCTCCTTCTCTGGGCTCACATGCACCATGTGCTGTGGGAAAAGAGCTGCCATGTTGGAAAACTCCTCAAAATTCATTCATGTGACTGGTGGCCATTTCAAAACAAAAACAAAAAGCAAAACAAAACAAAACAAAAGTATTACAGTAAATGTGATTACAATTTTCCTGAACTAATTTAAAGTCACAAAGAAAGACTCTTCAGCCTTTGTACATATAAAATTCTTCCTCTTCTCCCCAACCCCCACCCCCAATTGAAAAAAACAAAAAAAGATAAAAGGTGGCTCAGTACAGCATCAAAGTGGAGTTGTGTTCTGTGTGCCAAGTAATCCTTGGAAAGCTCTCATTATTTCACTATTATTAATGGATACCGACAAGACAGAACAAGACTACTGTAGAGGAAACTTATTTCTAGGTTATGATCTTTCTGTTAATTTAATTTAAAAAGGGACAGGCTTTGAGAGATAAGTATTGTAAATATATCACTGCAGAATAAAAAGGAAATTGAAATATTTCCCTCTGTCACATATCTGTAGTAGGATTTGGCAAAATCAGAATATATCCATTTTCTGTTTCTTGTTTTACAACAGATCATATGTTGTGTTGGTTACTATTAACAGCTCAATAAATGTGTTTAACAAATTAATTTAGTTAAGTTGCTTTGATTTCTTTTTTCCTTTCTGAAATAACAAGCTTCTACTACTTGTGGATGCATTATTTGTGTTTTTCTCTTTTTTTCTTCTTTTATTTTCTTTTTTAACTTCATTTCTTTATTTGCAGCCCATTCAAGTGAGTTTATTGCAATTGGGAATGTCTTTAGAGGTGGTATAACTTTAACTCTACTTTCTGGTCCATCATTAACAGGAACTGGGCCCAGAAGCAGAAAGCAGTTGAAACATATCTCAGTTTAAAATTGTCATTTTCCTTGCTGAAGCCATTATTGGGGCAAACATTCAATCCTGTAAATCGGTGGTGAAAGGGATATTTTTTCATTACAGAAAAATCAGGAGCTGACCAAGTAAAAGCAAATGCCTTTTTTTTTAATTTATAATGGTCATTCACTGTGTTTGGTTACTGTCAAGAACTCAATAAATGTGTTTAACAAGTTCACACAGTGCATGTTTGACCTTCTTGCATACTGAGGGATTTTTCAGGTTGGTTCTTTTTTTCAGTCTGGAGACTGGCCAGGCCTCGTGATCTCTAATGCTCACGTTGTACCACATTTAATTTCACAGAAAGCAAGATGAAACCAGAAAATGCTCTGGCACCAAGGAGTTGTTTACACCAAATGGAAGAAGAGGCACTATAAGAAGTGTGAGGGAACAGCCAATGATATACACAAATGATATTAAGGTTCCTTATGTAAAGGATTCTTCAGAATTACGCTGCCTAGCAAGAAGAGAACAAATTTGAGATCGCCTTCATGCTTCTCAGACAAAAACACTGAAAGGGACAAACACAAAAAGAGAAACTTCTCCAAACTTTACTATCTAGAAAATGTATTTTCTTTTAACAGCATTTACCTGTAGTTGATTTACAAAACGGAGCACAGGAATAACCTTCTGTGCAAACAGCACCACAAATTCTGTGAAATTACTGACATGAGACAGACAGCAATGCAAACTGGTTGTTTTTATAGTGTAGGATTTGTCACTGTGAATCAGGAGATATTGTGGAAGGGCAGTAAAGACTAGAGAGTGATTGTGACAGGCTGGAGCCTGGCAAGGTAAGCAGAGCCCTTTGTGTCTCAGGAGTGGGCATCTTATCATGATGGGTGGAAAAGAGAAAGAAAAAAAAATCAGATGAGACTGACTTCAAGATGTTTCTCTTAATGAAAGTTTTCATGTCAACAGCCATTACAGTGCTAATGTCAACATTTTTTTCGAAGTAGTACCCTTATAGCATTCATTAGGGATGTCATAAGCATCCCACAACATATGGTGTCTCAAATCCAATTACTTTTCTATTCAAACCATGACCTTGAATAGGTTTTAAAACAAGAAAGAGCACAGAAAAAAAGCCCCTATTGCTTATTTGATGGCTCAGTGGCATAGCACTGAAATTCAGAATTATGCCAAGTTGTCTCTGTTTGTTTTGCTTTCCAGTTTTGTATCTAATCTAAAAGAAGTGATGGAAGCTTATTTTAGAAAAACAAGTAGTGGCAACATCTACTTCCTGAGACTGTTATCACATTAAAAGCACCATAGACAGAAAGCACACAGAAGTACCTCTAATTCCAAGGGCTAACACTGGAGTTCTCTGTATCCTGCATGGGCTGGAGCTGAAATCCCTCTCTCTGCTGTGGTAGCTTCCCAACCCATATGTACAAGAGCCTTTCCTCACCAGCATTTCCTCACTGCAGCTGCTGCCTTGGGTCATCTCATGGACATTCATGGACTGAAACTTTCCAGTTCAATCCATGAAAAAAACCAAATACAGAAATCTTAGAAGTGTTCCTAAGACAATTATTTAGGCCCTTTGCCCAGGTAATTGAAGAAATAAAAAGAAACTTTTTCATCTAAATTTTACCTTTTGAAAGCACCAATTTTTACACAAAGATTATTTGGCAATATTTTTGTCACATAGAGTTTTTCTTCTGTGATCATCTTCCCCTAAATGATTTAAACAAAAGCCCCCAAGGATATTTGCTTATGTGAAGATCTAAAAATCTAATCCATTCTAGCTCATGCATGTTATGTTATGCCTCCAGAAAATAAGTTCTTTATATTTATAAATGATATCTTACTGGAACTTCCCCTCTTGCTACAATAATAGCGATAGCACTGTGCTGCTACACAAATAACACTGGTTATAGAAAACTTACAATTATTTGCCACGTTTTTGCAAGTTCTTCCTACATCAGATTATATTGTTACAATATAAACACTCATGCCTTTAATGGTACAATTAAATCTAGAGCAATTACTGCAGATAGTTCCCATAGTTCTTCACTGAGCTTTGCTAAATATCCCAAATCATTCTTGCAGTTTAATGCATTTAAATATGTAATTATGTTTAGCACATTTATTATGCACAGTCACTGGAAATCAAGTTCACTTTATTTTCTAATTGCTACTTAGAAACACTGGCAGACAAAATGAGTGCTGAGGCTACATTAATGCACAGATAAATACATTAACCTAAACCTCTGTTACCCTTTTTAATGATAAGAACATTAATTCAAGACATTCACTCATTCAAATATTCATCATTTTCCTCTTAATTTTAAAGTAACTTACAATCAACAGAAAAATCAAATATGATTAATATTTTAGAGAAAAAAAAATTGATAAAAGAAAAATCCAGGGGGGAAAAAAGAACCCATGCAAAAAAAAAATAATTTGAAGAGCTGACTTGTCTCAGTAGCCATCAGGATTATTCAAGGGAATAGAGCTCTTTTAAAATATTCCACCTTTGCACTGTTATTTATAGTGTGAATTTTGCAAAATGAGAAGCTGACAAGCACTACAGTAGGAAATATGGTTGTTCAAGGGAAAGAGTAATCAGCTTTCTGGGAGTTCCCCACAGCCTGGGGGCCTGGAAGACATTTGTTCCACCAGAGGTTGCTCTTGGAATCTGTAACAAATCCCTGCCCCCTCTTAAGTCTCTGTTCACACCAAAAAAACAAAAAAAACAAACAAAACAAAACAAAAAAAAACAACAAAACAAAACAAAACACAAAAAAGCCTTGGCACAACAGGGAAGGGCTGATGTAGGAACCACACCATAAACAATTCAGATTCTGCAGCAATGGAAGCCCTTATAAAGTTTGGGATGGACTTGCAGCACAAGCACAGCCACAACTGTGTAATATTTCCCATTACTGGTGGTTGGAGGTTGATTTGGGGTTTATTTAATGATCCTGCCAAGCACAAGGAGAGAGAAACCAAATCCCCTTCCCATACCGTGAGGAATTGTTGAGTCTGCCTCACCAGAGGGAACTGAGCTATCAAACTGCAGCCAGCAATGTTCAGATAACATTTAGCACTTAGATAATTATGTGAATTTTCCAGATACCCTCAAAATGACACACCACGCTTTCTAGAGGTGTAACCATGGTGGACTTCAATGGCTGGTGCAAGGCTGCTCAAAAAAATGTCATTCCACCTAAATGCCAAGTTCTGAGGCCAAGCTGCACCTCCCAATTGCTATTTTCCACTCCCAGTCCATTTCACTCCTTGTGTATTTTTCTCTGCATCTTCCCACTCCCCACAGTGAACACAAAGATAAGCACACTGAAAACCTTGCTGAGCAGGATCAGATTGTGTAAAAAAGTACACATATTAAAGAGAAAAAAGATGATACCCAAGGTCTGTTTCATCAGTGCTCAGAACAGACTTGCATAAACTCCACAAACAGCAAGATAAACAAAATATTATGAGAAAAGAAAAATGTTACTTTAAAAGCAAAAATGTAAGGTTAGGGATTAAAAAAAAGAATAGTAAAGTGAAACAAGTGTAGTATAAAAACAGTAGGAACAATTATTTTATCATGTGGATCAGAATGGCTGAAGTGAGATGGCAATAAATATTTTAGCAACACTGAATACTGGACTTTCACAATGCTCCTTAATACTGGCAAAGTATGGAGAGGGCGGAACTAACAATGTCTGACAGCAAAGAGATAATGAACACAAATTCAGTGTTTCACAAGATCACTACAAGTGATATGATTCAGCCTAACTAATAATACTTTTTAAAAAATCTTCAATTACTACACAATTTTCAGAGGTCAGAGGTGATTTTCCTGAGGGGGACTGGAACACAGAAACATGACTGTCCTGTTGTAGTGGGTTTGACACTGGCCAAATGGCAGTGCACCTATGAAAAATCATAAAATTCACTCATTTTCCTCTGCTATAGTTGAGCAGAGGAGGAGAAAAGAATAATTAAAAAATTCATGGGTGAGATAAGGATCTGGAAAATGCACTTTAAGGGCAAAACAGGCTCCAAACTTAAAAATGTATAAAAAACATTATTAACA